GTACAGTACTGTTGCAAACACAAAGTAACGTCAAGAAATTATTTTACTAATTGCACTAGGCCTAAATGCTATATGTATACTCGAAAAAAGTATAGCTGTCATGACAACAAAGATAGCTTTCTGGATATTTTCTACGCAAACCAAAAATAGCTCTGGAAAAGTTGGGTAGGTGCATATTTGATGTAATTGTCAAGTTATAAAGAACACCTTGCAAGGCCGTAACTAGGCCAAAAATTTAAGTGAGGCAAGGGTGCTGGGCATTCCTAGTCCCAGACGGGGCAAGGGTAGTACGTGATGGCTAGTGATGGGGGTTTCCTCCATGGGGAGGGGATTCTGAAAGCTTGGTGTTAGAAAATAAAAGATTTGGTCTTAGAAAGTTTCCACGTTTTGAATTGTATGCTCTTAAGTCTCGAAGTAAGGTGTCAATCCTTCACGTCGCGGGTTTGAATCCCACTGCAGGATATAGAGACCGGTCCTTCAGATGAGACTGTAAAAACTGAGGTCCTATATCACAGTAAGTAATGTTACACAAAAAGAAATCTCGCTGTTCAATTATCTTCCGTGACCCCGAAAGTTCAGAATAGATTTAAAACTTGCAGCCCCCACTGACAAGTACTGCTGTCTCAATATGAATAAGAAATTTTATGAAGGGATGTAAAACAATCAAACAATTTACAACACAAACAATTTGAATTATATTTTGCATGCGTTCTTAACGAATATGGGGCACCTAGTGAGATGAAAATTGACAGAAATTGAAACAAAAGTTGAAATATTAATTTAGCACGAAGACCCTCATAATTCATAAATTCATCGTAAAACGTTTTCACTTTTGGAAAAACTCTAAAAATTTAGTGAGGCATTTGCCTCACTTGCCTCAATGGTAGTTACGGCCTTGCCTTGTGGTCGAATTTGATAGCTTACGTTTGATAAAGATTCATATTAAACATTACAACAAATGTTTTATTGAAATAATGTCAACAGTCCATTCCAGTGGATGATTAGTCGAAAAATGACCATAAGATGCGTGAAAAACGCTTGCTATAGATGTTTATGGAGGGGTAGATGAAGCAAAAATATGATTATCTTTAAATATACCAAGAAGAAGTCTCATATTGTTTGAAGTAGTTTTCTTATCAGTAAGAAAACGTATATAAAAGCACATTTTTTGTCTAAATGTGCAGAGAGAAACTTCGAATGATCAAAACAAATATAGCTAGTGATCCAAATCAAGTAGATTTTCGATTAGCACTTCAATTTCTGATAATTCAAGATCTTTACTTGTATGGTTGAATTAGTAATAGAGGAGTGATTAAAGACATGACGACAAAAAATGCACCTTAATTCTTAATGAAATTCTAAGCAGAACCTTTTTTGAGAATAGAGCTTTTAGATTTCTACAATTACCTTCCAATAATGATATACAATTTTTCGAATAACATCTGGATATGAAAGTAAATTGATATTTCCAAATATCTAGCAAAAAAAATCTTATTTTGTATTTGTAAAATTAAAGTATAACTAAATTTCTGGATTCTGAACCTAAAATTCTGAATTTTATTAAAAAATACTTTGATTTAAAAAACAATTTAAATTAATTCTACATAAGTATAGAACACTAATAATTTTTTTGTGGTGCGTTTATGAAATTTTGATGTCTTATGTTCAATTGTCTGGTTCTGTCCACATTTTTTCAGAATTAACACCTCAGATTTTAACACATATGAAACTTTTGAACATATAAAAGAAGGAAACTGTGCTTTAATCTGTAAATATGCTACAATCTCGTAGAGATTTTCTTACAAGTTGATTATTTGCAAAGGTAAAGGATCTGTAAACGATTATAGCCTTGTAAATGTTTTCCCCTTTGTATCATTTTAAAGAGATAATATGTATGATTTTACTAATTTTTGACGATGTAAAATTATTTTATTGAGAGAAAATCTTTTAGACTTGCCCAATTTGTAATCAGTTCAAATGTAGATTTTGAAATAATTACTAAACAAATTCTTCTAAATCATTTAATATGACATAATTGAATCAAATTTGAAACAAAAAGTGTGTTTTTTTTTAAAAATAAAATTAATGATAATAATAACTTTACTTTTTCAATGTGCTGTCGCCACAACGAAATCTGCAAATTCCAAACTCACGGGTTTTTTGATTAAGCTATACTCTCAGAATGCCTTATATAGGAGTAAAAGAGGATGTTTATCATCGTTGGTGGTTAATGTGTGCGTCTTTGCGGTGCATGGTTTAGTGCATTTTCGCTGAACGCATCTTTTTTTAATACTTAGGAAAATATATGCACGATAAGCACATGGAACTTTGTTCGTCAAAAATGTATCCGCTGCAATTATTGGAAAATGCAAAAAGGTCAAGGCCAATGAGTGAAATATAGAGGCATCTCCTTTTACTAAAATGCGCGGACTCTTAAGATTGAATCATCGTGAGATCCAAATAATTAAAATACTGGTCATTAGTTTTAAGAGGTGAAAAATGGAAAGGAATCTTTCGAACAAAACCAATTATTGTATATGCTAAACAAAAAAGTGTTGGTGATATTACAAGAGAAATTACTGTTGGATCCCTGAAGAATGTGCGACAGTTATTTAGATTTTTAATACACCAATACTATATCAAAGACTTTGCCGTCATAACAAAACAGTCAATCCTTAATTACTTAATCGATGTCTATATTAAAAAGAAATATGAAAAATCAAAGCATTGTGTCGGTTCCTCTAAATTTAGAATTGTTTGACTGATGAGAGTTGCCTATATGCACTTTAACTACATTTATGTGCTTTGTTTCAGGATTTTGTATTATGTTTTTCTACATGTAGGTGTGTCTGATTATTTTTATTTAAACAAGAAGCTTACGGGCTTTATAAGTCAACTAAGATTCAACAACTCTCCAACAATTGAATTTGCTTTGTGTTTTAAATCAGAAGCCATACAATTTACAATTTTGAAAGAGGCATCAGTGCTCAATATAACTACTCACTTAACATGCTTACTTGATTACTTAATATCAAGAGGAAGGCTGGGGAACAAAAATGCATTCCTACTAATCAGTTATAAAATAATGAGCAGAATTTTTAGCGAGGATTCAATTTTGGCATTATTAACGAGGGTTCTGAGATCGCTTAAATTTTATATCGCTAACAATTTATGCCATATTGATTGATAGAACCACTATCTCTCTTGACATTATAAATTTAAATCATAGGATGTTTATTTTAAAAATATACAAATTAACAGATAATGATGATGCATTCGAGACATATTCTAAAAATATGGATATTTAATTGCCATCAAAATTCACTTGTCGTTTATAAAGCTAAATAACAACAGTTTGCCTAATTAAGTACTCCAAGCTGACCGTGTCAGTCGTCTGCACTGCATTGTTACGAAACAATTAAGCCACATTGAAAAAAAAGCATTGATTATACTCTCAAGATAAACACAAGATTCAAAAGTGTTGAAAGAAAGAAATTATTAGTGTTTGGAGCTATATGATTTGGAATTAATTATCGCGATTAATGTCTTAAAATTAGTCATATCGATCCATGTTTAATCATAGAAATAGGTACAAGAAAAGATGTTTTCTGGGATTTCATTACAGTGTGTGTCTTTCATGTTTTTTTTTTTGCAATATATGTCAAATTCAAACTATAAATTTTTCTCACCCTGGCTTGGGGTGCACATGCTTTCAGTGTTTATGTAGCTGAAAGTTTTTTATTTAACTGTAAACCTTGTCAGTCCCCAATGTTCAATATGGAATGTTTTTTAATAAATTGTTCTTAAACTGTATTTTCTTTTGTTATATATAGATTTGATTTTATTTACAAGAAAGTTTTGAACCAAAATTATTTAGAAAATGTCCTGACATCTAATATTTAAAGACACCCGATTTTTTCACACGAGGATATCGCGGACGCATTACTTTAAGGGTCCTCCAAACACGCACAGACGTTTGAGAAAACATTGGATCAAAATCATTGTTTAGGTTCATTTTATTCCATTGCATGCCAAAGCAATTGAGATGACCAGAAAAGTAAAGTTTGAAAAAGGAGGACGGATATTTATGAATTAATAAAGATAAAAAAGAAATATGATTTTCATATTGTCCCACTATCACTAAATGCAAGATTTCTACATCTATCTCATACTTTAAGAGCCTGTCTACGAGAAAACCATGCAGATATATAGAAAAACGCTCTGATAGGCACTCTCAAGAACAAACTAATTTTTATTCTGAACTTAAAGGACACCCAATGAGAGTCAAAAATATGTTGTTTATTTTTGCATCGGTTGTTTCTATTTTTAGTAACAGCCAATAATTCATTTTGGTCAATATTCAAGGGAAAATGCAAAAAAGTTGGTGAAAAAATGACAATTTCAATAGTTAAAAGTAAGAAAGAAAAAAACAATATATAAATAAAAGGGCTATGTTTTCTCATAGAATTAAGTCGTAAAATTAAGTTGGAATCATTTTTTTTTTGTAAAACCCCTATATAGAAGGCTGTCACGAGGGCACAAATATTGGCATGGTGCCAAGAAATGATAATGGTTCATTTTTTGTTAATATTCAGGGATACATTTCTTAGAAAGTAACGCTTCTTTTTTCAGAATTTTGTGCATTTAAGAATCTCTAGGATATTATCCAAACAATATGTAAAATCCACCTTTGGACTCTCAAGGACAGAAAAGTTATATCGTAATGAAATTACCCCAAATTCAAATGAGGGAAAAATTCATGATTTTATAATTTTTACTTTTAACAGTAATTTTAATGAATTTTGTGTAAAATATTTACAAATATAAACAATGAAAATTATATTAATTTTTATAAAAGCTATAAATAATTTTTTCCCTGTTTTTCCTGTGAAAAAAAACGTATTTTACTATTTATTTAGATTTTGTTAGAATTATCTCCCGTGTTGCGCTCTTCTGTAGAGAAGGTAGATAATGATTATGTTTACGAAGTTTATAAACAGTAGCTATTCCAGTTGACGCCATTTTGATCTTAAAATAGTAACAACCGGAAGCACTGGGTAGCCATTACTGCGTGCGATTTGTGGAAGGATATTGGATCCTATAGTTAAATCGTGGTAAGTAGTATTTAATGGACTTTGTTGTTGATGACAGTGATGTGTAAGGTATTTTTGTGTTTGGATATAGTTTGTGCTTTGTCAAAAAGATGATAAAACCAGTTCATTTATTTTAAATCGATGAAGAACAAGTAAAGTATATTTGCACGAGAAGGTCGCTGCGTTGGTATTTTCTTTGATTCCTTGGCATCATGAAGAAATATCACAGGTGTAAACATTTTAAATGAATATTTTAATGCTATTAATCTTTATTGAACTGTAAAATATTTTCTGTAGCATTGCACATTTTCCCACGTATTTTTTAAAGAATAGGAAGATTGGTCAACACAGAATGTTTCTGTAAATCGAATTACCTGCCTTGATATAGTCTCTTTCTTTTTCGACTAATCAAAAGAACATGTATTTTTACATACATATGGATGTAAAGGAGGCAATTGGACAATGAACTTCTGAATTAAAGTTACTATAAATATTTTTTTTCTAATTTTAGAAGTTTACAAATTACAGACATAGCAGTGACACAGTGAGAAATTTACAGAGTGACAAAGTGACTGAAATTTCCATAGAAGGTAAATACATATTTTATCAAGAAAGCATTAACTGCTTTTATATGTATCATATTTTTATTTAATTTTTTTATTTTCTGTCGTTCACTGTCTTTGTCTTTTACTTTTAGTTAGAAATTATGATGATAATAAAATGTTTACACACAATGCACAATATAACACACAAAAAAAGATAGAAGACTGAAGTACATATACATAGATGACTTAAAAAAAGGAACTTTTAGAAGTCAATTCAAAATTAAAGGAAAGAAGCATATTACTCATTTATTAAAGTAAAGTCTTTGCTTTATTATCAAAAATACTAGGAATGGTCAAAAAAGTCAAAAAATTTCAATGACTGAAAAGATTGAATGTAAAATAATTTATTAGAATTGTAAAAATGGATATTATTGAATTCTTTTCAAGGTGTAGAAAGTCACAAGATTTCATTTTCTTTCAATTTACTATTTCACCATTTTGTTCAACAATTTGAATATACATCAGTCGCATTCATCACTGTCTTATTATTAACGGTAATATGTTTATGTCTATCTTGTGCATGTTTTAAAGGGTCACTGTCATATCGCCCCAAAACCTGAACGCCCCATGCATGATCGCCCCAAAAATTTTTACCGACGCCCAAGTACAAATATGAGCACCCCAAATATTAATAACGAGCGCACCAAACGTATTTCAGGAACGCCCTAAATTAAAATTTCAAGCGCCCCAAATAATTTGGTCACAGATACACATGCAGGTGCTCGTCTAAATATTAAATTGTTTACTTTTCGTTTTATCAAATGCCGGCTATATCAAGAAATTTGAATTAATTTGGCGATAAAGCATGATAATATTGGGCGGGGGGGATTTTAAATAAAGTCTTACAAATTGTGATAGTTGCTTGACCAAATCTGCGTCATGAAGTCTATGACGTACAGTGTTTTTTTCCTTTGTGAAAATGCAGATAAGTGCTTAAAATGCGTTTATGTATTTATTTTTGTTATTAATTTCTAGATGTTATCATTTTAATTTACACGCATGATCCGTCTGTGCATGTTCAATATATAATTCACAGGAAAAGATGACCAGTATAAGTCGTCGAAGGACCAGAATTACGGTGTATGTTTGTTGAATTGGGTGTCTGAAATTATGATTACTGTGTATACACAGACTACAAATCCCACTGATCTAGTGACAGGTGTGTAATATTATGTAGCATTATATAATCAGGTACACAAGAAGCAACGAAAACGCGCGGCACGTGCACTATACTAAGGATATACTGCGATTTTGAATCTAATCTACATCATTAAAATTAACAACAAAAAAATTAATAGATGGATGACTTTGGGTAGGTTAAATGATTTTTTTATTCTTATAATTTTTATTGTATATTTACTACTGACAGATTCTAAATAAATTTCGTGACTCTTATTAAAAAAATTGCAAACTACGTAGACGATTTTAGAAAAGTTGGTACTTGGTATCTTGAATAGATTAATTAACCAATTTACAGGAGATATAAGCTATAAGACCACATCTTTCTACAATGAATATGACAGCTAGTCTAAAAACTTTTCTGGTTATTATTACATAGTTACTGCAGAAATACACATCGGTGTTTAAGTTTAATCTATTCGTACAGTGTATTTCCTCTTTGTAAGATCCTTATTAGCACCAAATAAATCAAAAAATTTTAAAAAATCAAAATAAATTACGGTTCGGGAATGCACATATAAATATGAATTCCATGTGTTTAGTACGTTTACATTTATCTTCATATAATGCTACTTTACAATTCTTGGGGCGTTCATTATTATACATCATAAAACTAGAAGCACTGGTGATAAACAACCGATAAATATATAATACGGGAAGCTTGTGAATTATAATATATTTTTTAGTCTAATAAATTGTAATAAAACATGCATCAAAGACAACAGTTTGGTTATTTACTACTTAATTTAAGCCTTGGGGCGCCCGAAATGCTAATTTGGGGCGCTGGTGAAATACGTTTGGGGCGCTTGTGATTAAGATTTGGGGCGCTCATATTTGTACTTGGCGAAGGTAAAAAATTTTAGGGCGTTCATGCATGGGGCGTTCAGGTTTTGGGGCGCAATGACTATTATAAGCACCCGTTTTAAAATGTTCTTACATTGTTTATATTAATGATTTTGGTGTAAAGCATGGTAAAATGTATTGCCTAAATGTTCATTTGAAATTTATGTAAGATATATATAAGTTATAATATTTATAACTGTATCAGCCATACTTCTAAATTTTATATTTATTTCATCACTTATTTATTGCTAATAACATCTATGAATTATATTTTACATTGTATACTTGTTTCATAAAGTAAAGAGCTGATAAGAACAGGATTATAATTCTCTAAACAAACGATATTTTAGGTTGTGTACTGGGATGATATAGATTGGAAGAATGACAGTGAGTTTCAGTTAACTGAGAGAGATCAGAGCTGAAGATTATTTACTATTTGAGAAAAAGACTATAGAAGGTATGAAGTAAGAGTTATCTTTCATTATAAGACTTACTCCTTCAATAATGAGATTGAGTTACTGCCCTTTGGAGCCAACTTCCACTTTAGGTAGAGGTTATTAGAAGTAATTTCAATAACAATGGGAAGGATAACCAATGAAGTTCTTTCTATTTATAACTAAGTTCTGCACTTTAGGACCCATTTATAATCATTATATTAACAATGTTTTCTTTTTAATTTTTAGGTGGAATAGCTATAAACAGATTTCTGTCATCTAATCGTTTTAGGCATCAATTATGTGTGATTTGAAGAAAATTGTCCCTCCTGTGAATGTAATTTGTTACGTATATACTAGTGGCTATGTTTAAAATGCATAAAACATTATGAAAACCATCGGGATCGAAGTACCACGTGTAAACATTATGGCATCCTGAGACGTTTTGTTTACCGTTTTGTACGTCCCCAGAAAAAGATTCAAGTGCGTTAATTGTCAACGAGTCTTCGGATTATGGCTCTGATTTTGATGAATATGATTCTGACAGCATTTGATAGCAAGACGGATGTAGTTATATGATGATACCGAATCAACAATGTTTGAATTTGAAAAAGAAACAGGTAGGTGGATCTTGGTTTATATTATCATAAAAATACATTACAAAAAAACTTTGGCATCTTGGGGGCTGCTCTCTGATTTATACCTACTTAGTTAGCTTTTTTTACCTACCTGAAGTAGCTTTATTTAGCTGCCAAATTAATTTTTTCTATAAAAAAATACCTACGTAGCTAAATCTAGTGATTGTACTGGACCTGAACAGCTGAATATATACCTAGCAAACCTGTCAAGAGAAATTTCAACATGTTCAAGGTTGGTACTTGTACATGTAGCAATAAAAATATCTGTATAAATTCAACAATATTGCAAAATAATTATAAATAGCATAAGTAGCCTTCGTGGGGTGATGAAGAGAGAATGAAAAGTTGAATAGGTCCAGGGTTTTCAAAGACTGTTTACTAATAGGGTACATTAAGAATTGGATAGGTGGGTCAATTAAATCACCATTATTGCATTATATGTGGCTGCTTGATTATAAAGAATCTCATAATCTCATACTTTTAAAATAAAGGTAACCATGTGTTCCTTGACAAGTTTCTGTTGAAAACATAACTAATTAAATATTATAATTATAAGTCTGGGAAATTATACTTTGTAAAGAATATTTCCTTTCATTCTTACATTTCTCGTGCAATTTCAGATTATTCAAATTCATTTCCCTGGTTAGGGCTGGGCTTTACAATGGGATTTTCAGCTGTGGAGCTATAAAGAATTACTACATATGGTTTCCAATGTAGTTTTGTGTACAGAATCCAGAAATAAGAAGAGAAAAGACAATGCAGATGCAGCATTAGAATTACCAACTACTTATCACTGCTGAGGAAATGGTAAAGATGTGTTATATTATTATACCTCTACTGTCATTACTCTGTATAAATTAATACCATAAAACTCTATTTCCCCGATAAGTGACTATTGCCCTCATCTGAAGACTACTCCCTGGAAAATCAGAGTTGCTCCCTTGGACTACTCCCTCATGAATATTTATTAGTAATTTTAACCAATCAAAGTGTTCAGTGGGTGAAGCGTTCAAAGAATCTCGAGTCTGTGACGTCATGTTATTAGCAATGTAGCTATGACGTCAAAACATTTCGACGTGCGATGTCAAAATCATACTTGAATTCTACCAAAATGAAGAAAACGATAATTTTTCGAAATGTCAGTGAAAATACTTTTTTAAAAATAAATTAATTGTTTAAGGACACGATGCTTCACTTATCATACATTGTGTTAAACCGCATGCATTTGTAATTATGCCTCTACAGTTTTTTTTTTAAAATGTTGGAATATCTGGTTAAAAAAATTTCAATCGCCTATCATTGTTTTGGTATAATAAAAAAGTTATGGAATGGGAACTCGGGAAATAACAAATTTATTGTTCCCCTTGGCAGAAAATTATTTCCTCCGGGAAATAGTTTCCTCCCTCGGGGAATCATAAATTTGCTATTTCCCTCATACCCATTTCATAACTGTATACTATAGTACATGGAAAGGAATTGCCCTGTCTGTCTGTCGATTTGCCACATGCATTTTTCCCTACTCTATTACTTTACTTCAAGGATATATGAAGCTCTTGTTTTCTTCAAAGAAAGCCAGAAGAATTTGTGAAGAATCTTACCTAAATCATTTGATGACATTTTCTTCAATTGATTAATTTAAATGTATCATTATCATAAACATGACATTTATTTTAAAAATCTTAGAATATGTCTTGTATGTTTTATTTCAATTTAATTTGAAAACTGTGTTTTTTCACAGGTACCTGCTTTGAGTACTACTCTTGTGTATTTGGAGACAGTCCAGTTGTTCTTTAAACCAGAAGTGGAAATTTCAGTGCTTGTTAAATTTTCTCCAGAAGTTATTGGATGATACATTGGAAGAAAATGGGATCATACTGAACAAAATAGTTTGGACACACCTTATAGATTTTGAAAGATTGAGACCTCAAGATCAACCCAAATAATATTTAATATGTATCAGGGTTCACTTGCAAGAATACACAGAAATTCAGAGTAAATTTTAAGTGTTTGTTATCTTAGAGAAGATCAAAGTTCAAGGTCAGCAGTGCTTTAGTTTTACCAAATATAAAACTGTTATAAAGACTAATTTTCTGTATACAGTTATAGCAAATAATTCAGAATATGATTTGGGGAAACCGTGATTTTTTTCTTTTAAATCTTACCTTAATTTAGAACCATGATGTATACTTAAGCAAGTAGATTTTTTTTCAAGCATACAAAATTTCAAGGTCATTTTAATTTTGGAAGTGAATATAACATATCAGGAAGCAGTCAAGCATTGTAATTTATTTGTTGTTGAATGTACTTAGTTATTGAGTAATATTCAAATTTTAATATGCAATGAAATTAAAAATTATAAAATAACTAATGTCCTAATTTGTTGATTTTTTAAAACTTCGTGTTCATTCTTTTTGAGGTTGTTGCCATTACAATATATCTGTCAAGAAAATAGCTCTGATATTCCTTTCTGTTCAGTTTGACCCTTGACCTTTAACATTGTGACCTCAAAATCTAAAGGGGTCCTCTACTTTTCAAGAAACCAATGTACTAAATTTCATGTCTGTCAATCAATGGGTCCTCACGATTTTGAATGATTAAAATCTACATACTGGTATATGGAGAATTATAACCCTTGACCTTTGACCTTGTGAACTCCAAATTAAAAGGGGTCATCTACTTATTAGTAGAGTAGATACCAGTGTACTTTGTTTATTATTTATCAAGCAAGTTTTTTTTAAGATAAGAAAGAACAAACTTGGTCTACTGATAGACAAACAGGTACTAAACAGTATGTGAATATCACCCTGCTCAAAGAAAATGTAAAATAATACAATTCTGCTACCCCCCCCCCCCCCAATTTAACCCCATTTAACCCCTTAAGAAATAATTATTGATTGAAAACAAAAATTTTCAATATATTGGTATTTTTCAACCGCAAAATTTGAATTCTTGAAAATATTTAAATCAGCAAATAACTCCTTGCTGAAGTTCAGGGATGAGAAAAAATTTGAAAATTCACAAAAAATGTCCAACTTTAAGTAAAAAGTACAGCAAAATATTTGAGAGTCCAAAGACAGATTTTAGACATGTTGTCTAATAATTGGTATGAGATTGAGTTGATTCTAAGCGTTACTTTCTGAGTTATGGGTTTTTGAAAAGTTAATATTTTTACCAGTTTTCAAAAATCTGGAAATATGCCAGATTTGTGACCTTTTTGCACTTAAACGAGGGCACAGTTTGTGATTATGAAAAAATTTCCGAAACAAGTATATCTTGTTACTTTCAACCATATATGGATAATTTATATCATAATCAAGTAAAATGCTGAATTTTTAAATATAAAATCCTATAAAATTCCTGTTTTCACCCTGCGTAAGGACCAAGAATTCTATTTTTAGTAACAGTGTCGATTTTACGCCTTAAGTGAGACCACACTGAAAAAAAATTTGTGGCAAAATATTTCATATTATAGAAGAAATTTACACACAAAACATGAAGTTGATCAGAGAACCTTGCTCCCATAACCTCTTGCATGGTTTTCTCGTAGACATGCTCTTAAATCCACTGTGGCAAGGTTCTCTTACTCATGTTTACCCATCACCTTCCGTAATCGTCCAAAGAATTCCCAATACATGTATTTATAACATTCTGACGCCAGATGAAAGAACGTAATTTCTTAGATTGTGGATCTTTTAAAATAAGAAATTTAAGATCCTGATCATTAACCTTAAGAAATTTATACAGCCCAAACAGAAATGTTATGATACGAAAGTTGTTCGGAAAGTTCGTGGACTTCTGTCATATCTCTTTTTTATTTGACTCATATGTTATGCAAATTTTGTAGAAAATTTTTAAGAATGAATCCAAATTATTTATATTATTTTTTTCAAATATCACGATTTATTCAAAACTTTTTTAGATTTTTGAAATTTAGCAAGTTACAAACAATACACTGAATAATGTCTCTAGTCTCTGTAAAATGGAGCAAAACAACCTAAAAATTCAAATTTAGAATTGTTACATCAATTTGTATTCCAAATTATGGCTTAACCCTTTCTCTTCCGGCGCATTTTACGTGTTTTTGGAGGCCTTTTGACATGTTATTACTAAATTATTTCTAACTTTTTTATGCTAGGTGAAAGCTAGGCATAATGCATACCACTTTGAAGGGGATTTCATAGAGATGATATTTTATGACTATTTAGATGCTCAACCACTGACCTTATTAGTAAAAATTGAGGTCAAAGGTCAATAAAGTGCAAAATTTTATGGAATTTTTTGATACTTTTTAATCTTCAAGCTAAATATTCAGTATTATGTATGTTGAAATAGGAAATTTGGGATATACCCACAAAAGAGCATTATACTGTAGTACATGAAACACATAAACTTTTTTTTCAATTCTGCATATAACTACTTAAAAGGGGTTGCTAAGCAACGCAGAATTGTTTAATTTTCGGGCAGAAATTTTCATTTTTTACTCAATCTAGATGCATTTATGCATCCAAGCACATATTAAAGTTAGATGTGAGGTCATAAAATTACAAGGGACATATAGCAGATAAATTGTGTTAAAGTTTGACCTCATTAGATCTATTTTTAGGAGGTCAAAGGTCAAATAAGTGCAACAATTTTATCAACTTTTTAAACACTTTTCAAAATTCTTGCTAAAATTTTACACAATGAATGCTAAAATAGAAATTCTGAGAACACTCTCTAGAAGGCATTATGCTTAACTGCAAAATTCCTTCACCATTGAAGTCTAAATTTGTGTTAAAAGGCCTTTAATTGGTTGCTAAGCAACTACAACCTTTTTTTCCTTTTGCGTTGTATACGTTTGTTTTCACTCATTCTTGACACACTTTTTTTTTTGCATTCCATGATATTGTTCAGTTAAAATAATGTAAAGGATATACAAGAGATTCTTATTATATTAACTTGAGCCTACTAAGATACAACTTAAACACCATTATCATAATAATCAATTTAATTGATAAATGAATATTTCTGATTGCCAAGTAACAATACCCATAATGCAATTTTAACTTAATTTCACATTTCTGCTTCCATCCAGTACAATATCAATATAATTACAAAACATAATAATTAGCATATAATTACCAATTAAATCAAAAAGATATTCCCCATACACATTTTTAAGGTTTAAAGCATTAAAAGCAATAACAATCATGAATATTTTTGAGACAATAAAGGTCAAAGGTCATCAAGTGCAAAAACTGTGCTTCAGAATTTTGTTCTTTTTTTCTAACTTTTCCTTCCACTTTGAGAAAATAAATAATAAATACAGCAATGATATAGAGGCCTTTAACACTACTGCTTATTTTATTTAATTCAATTTTTTATTTTAGTAAATATATTTGGCTTCACAAGCAACAATGCCAAGGAAAATATACAAAAATACTTAGGTACTATCCATGTGACACTGTAATAGTTCATTTCTTCCATTAAAAACAATTCAAACTAATTGTCTAGAAAGTTATTAAAATGAAATGTGGTTGTGAATTATGAATTTCATATTCATTTTACAAAAATCTCCAAATTTGATAAAAATTTAATACAAATTTTGACAAATAGCACTAATTACTTGCATGTCAACAAATGTATGGAAATTACACCTAAATGTACATTTTATATAATTGATAATCAAGAAGTTGAACATAATTGTTGAGAAACTTTTCTGCCATGGCATCATCAACATGTCTCACAGCAGTTACATTTATAAATATTATGTACATATATTTGAATTCACTGGACAGAAATATGGTATGTCCTTTAAAGAATACATGTACAGGATATTTTCATAGCTTTCTCTTTTTACATGACAAATCTGCACTCTTTCGAACATCTTCTCCTTCTTTACTATGCCATTTCTTAAAACAATTTCTGTCACTTGATAAACAAAGAGGAACTTGGCATGATGGACAAAATACAAGTGTCTTATAACTAGGAGACTTCTTCTTTAAAAGTATTGCCTCAGCATTACAAAATATACAATCTTTCCTCTTATCTAAAAATTCAGGCATACATTGAATAACACTTTCTTTTGATACAGACTTTTCATTCAAACCCATCAGTGACAAAGCAAGTGATTCACGGAATTCAAGTTGTCCAAACCCTGAAGAACAATTTGTAATCTGACTTTCATGCGATTTTCTAAATTCTTGAAAAAGAATATATGAATTCACAACCATGATATCTAGTAAATGAAAAAACAAAACTTTCCACCAATGATATTGTGTTCTTATATAAGATGGATATTTATTAGTAAACTGGTTTGAAAGATCAACAGCTCCCATACATTTATTATAATCATTTGCTACTACAGGTTGTACAAGTTGTTTTTTGTTCCAGGTTAATCTAGATTTCATAGTGCGTTCACAAACAGTTGTAGCCGAACCCTGATGTAAAGGTGACATAAAAGTGACAACCTTACAATCTTTCCACTGAACAAATACAAATTCATCAACTCTGTGCCATCTAAAGTCACCACGTGTTGCTACTCTTTCCCAAATTTTAACATCTCTAAGTTCATCAGGTATAGATAAACTGTTTGATTTCAGTACCCCCCCAAGAAAAATTTTCCTTGCAAACAATTCTTTGCCAAGAGCTAAAGATGTATAAAAACAATCAGTAAAAAGCCTATACCCTTGATCAAAAAGGGACTCACATAATCTAAGTGTTACATTGTATCCAAGACCTTTTGCACGATCAGTAAATATGGTGTTCTTTTTACCAAGATAAACAAAAAAGTCGTATGTGTACCCAGACATGTTACAAGCTACAACCCAAAGCTTTATACCAAATCGAATAGGCTTGTCTTTAATAAACTGGCGAATACCAGAGAACTTATGTTTTGAGGAAACCATTCTCTCATCTACAGCTATTTCCCTGTGCGGCTGGTATAATTCCTTGCACTTCTCTTTGACATGATCCACCAATGACTGTACGCATGTCAACTTCTCAGCTGTAAAAAATAAGATAGAAAGCAATATAATCTGACTGCTTCACTGACTCTATATGTAATAATATTAGAAATGTTACATTTAAAGATAAATTGCAAATAGTAATAATGTACTTGGATTTCCCTTTAAGGAAATAAAAATTCTGTCATTTACTTTTGTTCAAGAACTGGAATCCAAGCAATATAATTTCCTGATTTATTTACTTCAGAAACTGAATTTACATTTAAATTACATACATGTAAATGCTACTGTGACATATTTACAACTACAAGCTTATTGAAGGGTTTTTGTCACAAATCTTACTCAAGTACAAAAATAATACATCAAAAAGTAAGAGAAACCTTTGTCAATATCAGCTGGAGGTGTAACTTGTAAGAAAGATAAGATGGCCTGAAATCTAGTTCTGGACATAACTCCTGGTACAGGGTTGTTCCGATAGAGAGCCTGTGTTGACCAATACCTTTCTAGCGTCTGGAACTTTACCACGGACATGTAGAGAATAATTCCGAGAAATCTGAAACAAAAAAACAAATATTACTTTTAAATGATTATGGTTCAAATTATGTAAATATTTTGTGATTTAATGATGTTAATCAGTTGAATCTGATACATCAAGAAACATTTGTTAAAACACTATTTCCCACTGAATAAAGAAGCACTACCTCAAGCATAGCAACAAGCAATATTGCTAGACGACATTTAATTTAAAAAATAATACATGTACATTGAATGTGCAGAATTTATGTGCACAGGGTTCATTGTTTACTGTAAAATTTGTATTAAAAAATTCAGTAAAATATAATAAATATTGCATGTAGTTGAGTGAAACATTGAAAATTTTCTACCCTTGAAAACTATTATCAATCTCGACTGCACCTTGGTGTGCAATAGTTTCTTGGGTGAAATTCTCCATCTTACTACATGTAGTACATACTTATAAAATAAAATTGAAGTTTACAGCATGTATGTTATAAGTGATTAAGATAAAAGTTTCAAGTTTCAAAAAGGGAAATGCAAATGACTCTTTGGTAATACAAAAATAGCATGAGTTGGTAAAGGTGATATCGAGGAAATTCACTTGATAATTTAAATCACATTGATTTCGAATTTGTAATACCTGTACAATTCCTCTTCAGTGAGAGGAGTCCAATTCCCTTGACTTGCATACGATGACATTTCCCCTCTAGATATCAACATATTGGCATATTCATTGGTGGCAACACAGATTGAGAAGACCAACGCCTCCGTCAGAAAGAGTTTTAAGAAATCAATTGGTTCTCGAAACTGCATAGCGCCATATCTAAAATAAAATTGGAAATATAAGACTAAAAGTATTTGTCATAACCATGCATGCATATGCATTTGTGAGCACATTTATAAAGAGAGTGAATAATTTTTCTTAACAGTATGCATGCCTATGGTATGTACATGTATAAAATAATTGCAAAAGAGATTTTTGCTATATTTAACCTTAAAAGTCGTCCCAACTGAATGCCAGGCTGCCTCTCTGGATGAAATGCTACAGTTCTTGGATCTGGTGCCCCTGTGTCCTCTACATTGGCATCTCTCCAGTGCATATCTGGATTTGCGAGGGGATCATCACTGGCAGAAGAAATCTGAGAACTCCCCACAGAAGACTGGGATACCAATTCCCTTTAAAATTATATATATTTTCCAAATAACAAATACACTACTACAATAAATTTGTCCTCTACTGACCCTTACAATTTCATGCTATTTAAATGAAAAATATCACACACCAATACAATATCTATAATATTATAATTTGGAAATGAAGCTGAGAAAATTAATCTAAATTATGCATGAAATTCACAAGAAAAAAAATCTGTTTTAAAATTGCTATCATGCTTTTGTTAAAAGTTCCAAATGACTTGTTGTGGTGGTGGGAGGGGGTGGGGGTGGGGGTTGCAGATCTCAACAGGCAAGAAAATAATTTGTCTTGTTTGGTGCTACAGTACTTCAACCCCCCCCCCCCCCCACTCATGAAATTAGAATTGTGGAGTTGGACAAGTGTAACTATTAAAAAGACAAACTTATAAGAATAAAGTAAATAAACTGCCTCTTATCATATCTGGCAGAAATAATCTGTCTTCTAGCACTGAAATAAAAAAACTGAGTCGAAAGACTTTGCCCCTTACACCCCCCCCCCCCCCCAAAAAAAAAAAAATTGCCCTTGGAGATCAAAACCACATTCTGGTCAATCAATTTTCGCTTGACTGCCGTCCTCATAATCATTGAAGTAGGCCTAAGATTTTACCTCGTAAGGGACGTTCGAAATGCAAACAGCATGCAATGCGCAACATGCTGCGTTCAGGACTGACCTTGACAGGACCTTAAAAATTCATCATTGTCTCAACGCTAAATATGTTTTTGTACATAGTAAAATCTTTTAGCCTAATTCCTAAGTTTCACACCTTTATAAATATAGGTACTCTCTTTCACGAAATAACAAATAAAGATCAAATTGATAATTTTCCTAGTCAAACTTTAGACCAGTGTATACAAAGGCTATGCTTACATGTCATCAATATTGAAGGCAGGATCGCTTGGATCATCATCAAGCGCATCCTGTAACAAGAGATCCAGGGCATCCTCTTCATCTGACGATATCAGGTCGTTTTCCATAGTCAAGCAAAAGACTGCAGTTTAGGCCTAAAGTAAAGATAAATTCTTCCGAGCGTTTGCTGTGTTGTTTTCAGTAGAAACGGAAACACGTGGTGTCCATGCATCACAAGTGATGCGGGTACGAGGATGACATATGCGGAATTAATGTTCCGGAAAAAAAGATAATAAATATTTCATGTCTTCCGGAGCAGCATCTAAATAATTAACAATATTCTTCCACAGTGTTTGATGAAGGTTATATTTTTGAATAATCATTTATTTACGCCTACATGTACATAAATATACCTGGTTATGTAAAGGTTACGTGTGTACAGTATTTTATGCTGGTAATATGTTTACGAAACTTTTCTATCTGCGTTGAAATAAATCATTGCCAGGATAAAAAAAGCAAATAAATAAAGAAAGAAAGAGATAAAGAAAGAAATAAGTACTGTTTTAAATTATACTAGACTTCTATAATATTTTTAGAGCAACGTCTATACCATGTAGATTAGTGTGATAAATCGTGTCGCAACACAAATGTTTCACATAACGTTGTATCACTTTTGCGTTAAAATTAACAACTTTACTTCGGAGAATGGTGAAACTTAAACTATTGTAGATAGGCGAATACTTATCCGATTTTGATGAAATAAAAATTAATGAATAGGAAATGTTCTGTACTCTTACCATCTAGGTTTAGTTTTGCCTATTTCCATACAGAAATATGAGTAAAAACTTGTTTTATTTAAACTTGGTTAGAATTTCCTTTGAAAAACGGAAAATTGATCAAATTTTATAAATTTTCACCACAAAAAGGTAAGAATTTAAAATATATTTACATACTCTAGAAGCTTGGGACCTTATCTTTTAGACAGTATTTGACAAAATTTATTTTACGCTGAATTAAAAATTTCACCCATCGTACAAAAAATCAATGTCGCATATCAAAAAAACGTCATTTTTCAAAACTATATGCTAACGTAAAAAATGGATATACTTATTTCAAGTAAAAAATTCAATAGTGATTTTTATACAGAAAGAAAGTACATAAAATTCCCTAAACATTGATACTAAACATTATAATATTCTTTGTACATTAAGCTCAACAGCGATGTGTGAAAAACACGCATGCCTCATTTTTTGCGCCATCGGTCAAATTGACCGGTACGGAAGTGAAGGGGTTAATATTTTGCTTTGTTGAGAAGAAATCAATTTGAGAAGATAGGTGGGTCTCATTGAAAACGACAAAAACGATGACGTTTGAGAACGTCACGAAGCAGCAGTTAACGATGCAATTTTGTGTTTTACTTAGGAAAAATCCTGATTAAACTTAAAAAATGTTAGAGGAATCGAAAAATATGTCACAAGCGAGTTTGTTGTGCATGTGAGTAGAAATAGTAAAGGCAGTATTTGAATGACATAAACTCAGTATCGTATGAGGACAATCTGTTAAAGTACGGTTTAACTGTAAAAATCTTAACAAAAGCATTAAGGATACACAAAAGGTTTCCAAATGTCAAAATTTCAGTTGCCTGAATTCCTTTCATTATCAAAGATAACAAGGTATAAATCATTTGAAAGCTTGTTAAATATACTTTCTTCTTATCCTAACTTTAACTTTATTGGTTAACATCAAAAAAATTATTGAAATTTTTATGTAAATTTAAGCACATTAATATTTCATAAATCAACTTTTTTTGTATTTCATTCCTGAAAGTGGTTATTTTGCCTCATAGTAGATTATAGATTGAACTTGAAAACCGTATCTTAGATTTTTGATAAATCTTCTCATTCAAAAGTTACACCCATTTGCACTTCAAAGTCACCAATTTAGTAGCCTAATTTAACATGTCCCTAAATAATTCCAAAACTAAGCACAATATCAAAATCTGAGATACGGTTTTGTGAACACACATTTGAGGAACAACCTAGCAAATTTTCAGAAGAATTGGTCAATAAATAAGGGAGCTGAATCCTTTGAAATAATACCACCAACTGTCTGATCTTACTTTTACAGTAAAGGGCAAAAACCAGTTACACAACAAAATCTGCCAAAGCTTTTAGATATATGGCACCTTCGAGATCCAGCTTTGGATACCTGTCACTTAAACACATCCCCTATGCATATTCACAAAAGTGGGAGGATCTCTTCTGTATGAATCAGAACCCCCGTAGTTTGATTGCTGATAACATCTGTAAGAAGTGTGAACAATGGAAGAGCAGTTCAGAGAAGAAATTCAAGATGCTGGGTTATTACTTCATTTAAACAACATATGCATGGATTATTACTTAGGAGTCAGTCCGTGAGAAAACCATGCAGAACTGTCCAAATCGAAGGTTGTCATATCTTAATGAAATTTGGTTGGTAGTTAGACTTTACAATATGTTATTTAAAGAATACAAAAAAATTTCCATCATTCAACATGGCAGTCGTAGGAAGCGCCACCTCCTTTTTGCACATTTAAGTGCAAATGCACTTAAAAAATTCAAGAAAAATGGTAAAATTCACATTTGATTTATTTTACTCAAAATTAAACTTGCATTTCCACTGAGGTTTTTTAAAATATTCTTTCAAAATTGACATTGATCATAATCAAATATGCAATATATCAAAGGGCAGACAACTCGTGATGCCAATTTTCAAGAATTGCCAAAGGTATTACAAATTTAATGCCCCAAATCTTCCAAGACCAATCTTTGAAATTATTTATTTTTTTATATATTATTGTACAAATATAGCTCTAAACCTTACCTTTGCAAAATATTGAGCTTGGGAAATAATAAATGATTGAGATATGGGGAATTACAAATTGCCAATTTTACAAAAAAAAAATTGCACAAACTCAAATGGGTTACAAAATCAAATATAGTATTTAAAATCATAAACAATTGTTGTTAGATATTGAAACATGTAACAATTTTCTTTGAAATAATAATTAAGATTGAAAAAATATTAAAATAAAAAAAAACAAAACAAATAAATAAAATTAAACTAAATTGTCAGAAATTACCCTTAATATGAGGACCGGCATTTTGCCAATTGTTTAGAAATGAAAAAAAGCATAATAAATTGTATTGGCTTACTTGCAATTTTTCAGCAATCATATGAATATTCATGTTCCTTACATTTTGTAAGTTAGTTTATCTTTAATTAAGAAAAGGGAAATTACAAGTATTTAAATTCAAACGGACACTATTTCAGTATCATTCATATAAATTTTGAGACTTGAACATATACAATTTGAGCCTTCGGCAAGTTGTTTGCTTTCTGCCAATTTCAAATTGACGCAATCTTATAAAAATACTGACAGGAAATCTTATACAAAAAACTACATAAAGGAGTTTAAGAAAATGAAAGATGCTGGAGTTTACTCTTACCCCACCTCCCGAATCAAACAATTGTCTTCTTTCTTCGCTTGGCAAATTCTTTTCAGGTAAGTTTAATTTTACACCCCACCCCCGACCCTTTCAAAATCGTTTCTATGTCACTGCTATGAGTTTAATTTTCGTAAATAAGAGGTTTTATGAAGAAGAATAAATCAACCTGTATCAAATAATGGGGGGTTGAATTTATAGAATATATATTGTTTATAAATTTGTGTATTTAAAGTGATTTAATCTAAAATAAGAAATATAATACGTTTTCCGTTCCGTTTTCTGTTCCTCGTTTTAGCAACACCCCTCCAGAACCCCTATCATTTTTCATTATTTTATACATTTCAATAATAGTATGTAAATTGTGGGGAGATGGATGGGGTTAAACGATTGGGTACTAGATACACTTGTATATTTAATATCATGACATTGAAAACGAATTTATTAATCTTTTCTCGACTGACACGCCCCCTTCCCCAACTGTTTTCAGTGGATACAAATAACATTAAAAAAATAATTTATCTTCAAAATAAAACTCTGTCTGCAATGGTATTAATAATACCATTATGTTTATTCAGAAAAAGTATCAAACATTAATTTACAAAGCCTTATACAATTTTATTAATAATGTTATGAAAATAATTCTGACAAAATTTGATAACCACCCACCCCAATTTGAATGAATAGGAATCAAGTCTTTTATCATGATGTTAATAGATGTTAAATTCATGCCAGGTTTAATTTTTTACCACTTTGTACGGCAAACTGGCATAAATTTTGGCTGTAGTAACGACCCATGTTTTCTTCTTTTTTTTGGGGGGGGGGGGCCCTCCCCCGAATAATTTTTCCAATATATATTGTGGAGGGTCCTATATCGCTGTGGTACCTAAATCGGTGGCATCTCTTTTTGTGCTGGAGATTTGTAGATTGAAATTACCAATTATATTTGAATTTGTTGAGAGTATTCAGTATGCAATCAAATACCTGTATGTATTCTTATATTTTCTTAACTGATAACAAAACAAGTATATGTATTTAATCAGTCTTCAATTTCTACATAATTCATTCATTTTCATGCTGTGTGGAATTGGGAAAATTAGGGGGAAAAATTACGAGCTAGGGCTTATCAATAAATTAAGTTTTGATGATCATATCACTTTAAAATCAATCAATCCTCTGTTACAATTTAAAGAAAAGAAAGTGTGTTTTTTTTCAATAATCACATAAAGGTATGCCTTGTGCAATTAAAACCTTTGCAACCTCTGCAGCATTTCTTAAAACTTATTTGTTTGTATTTGGACAAAAATTAAATGATAAGTCATATCCATATATATATTCCGGGTTTATATACTACATTTTATTTTATTTAATATACAAAAAATAAAAGGAAAACTTGAAAAACTTTAGGTGACTTGTTTTATTTCGTTAAAATAGACATAATGTCCTTGATTCTCTAACTTTAGAAGGACATACAATATCCTCCATGATTTAAAAGAACAAGTCCAATCCTAAACCTGATTTGGATCGATGGCATCCATGACAGCCTTATCCTCTAACTTTCGCACAAGCCGATCAGTATCGTCAGAAGATTCAACGCGAAGATGTGTGCAGTTGGTCTTCCCATCTTGAGAAACCAGGACCTTTATAACATATATCGTAACATTAGATGTTGGATCATTGCGACTGATGGAACAGAGCGCACGAGGAGGACACAAAGCCGATTCGAAAGAAATCTTCCCAGCATGTACGTATTCGACAATCCTTTGAAGCTCTTGATCAGCATCCTTAACTGGACCAAAAGACATTTTGTTTAACTGCAATAAAAATTAATAAAGACCTAACAATGAATCTAAAAGAGAACTTTTAAAAAATACAGGGTAATTAAATCACGTTTGCTTATATATTAAAATATTCGTTTTTTTTTAATTTAACGTGACAATTGTGCAAAATGCCTTGTGATTTCGCTGCTCTTAAATAAATGTAAACATTAAGATGAGATCTCAAGGTAGCTAATGATACTTATACGACATTATTTTGAATGCAATTTATTTCTCTAACACCTTTGTTCAATTTATTAAAAGCAGGTGCATGTTTATAGAATTGTAAAGAAATTAATTATATGCTAATGATGAAGTATGTGATTTGTAGCATATTTTTTTTTTCTTCAAAGTGTTGCCATACAGTGTTAATAAAAATAAAAGCGGTATCATTTCAATGGGTCTGTCAAAGAAAAAAAATAGTGTCATATTCCTTAATTTCTTATTTTATTTCTTATTCTTATTTTACTTTCATAATAATAAATCAAATGCAAATTATGCATTCATAATTTTCAATCAAAAACATAATTGACAAATTAATGATTATTAAAGAATACTTACAAAAGCAATATTAAAATATTTCCCTGCTTCCGTGCATTATGAAGATCATAACGATAATAATAACTAGAAGAGATCTTGCGTAGAGCACGAGTACCTTTTTTGTCCAATTTCTGATAATTTTAAGATCTTTACTTGTATGGTTGAATTAGTAATAGAGGAGTGATTAAAGACATGACGACAAGAAATGTACCTAAATTCTTATGAAATTCTAAGCAGAACCTTTTTCTTTAGAATAGAGCTTTTAGATTTCTAAAATTATTTACCAATAATGTACAATTTTTGGAATAACATCTGGATATGAAAGAAAATTGATATTTCCAAATATCTAGCATAAAAATTCTTATTTTGTATTTGTAAATTAAAGTATAACTAAATTTCTGAATTCTGAATCTAAAAATAGTTTGATTTAAAAAAAAATTCAAATTAATCCTACATAAGTATAGAACACTAATAATTTTCTGTGGTGCGTTTATGAAATTTTGATGTCTTATGTTCAATTTTCTCGTTCTGTCCACATTTTAGAATTTACACCTCAAATTTTAACACATATGAAACTTTTGAACATATAAAACAAGGAAACTGTGCTTTAATCTGTAAATATGCTACAATCTGTAGAGCTTTTCTAACAAGTTGAATATTTGCAAAGGTAAAGGATCTGTAAACGATTATAGCCTTGTAAATGTTTCCCCTTTGTATCATTTTAAAGAGATAACATGCATGATTTTCCTAATTTTTGACGAAGTAAAATTATTTTATTGACAGAAAATCTTTTAGACTTGCCCAATTTGTAATCAGTTTAAATGTAGATTTTGAAATTATTACTAAAACGAATTCTTCTAAATCATATAATATGACATAATTGAATCAAATTTGAAAAATAGTGTTTTTTTAAATAAAAATAATGATAATAGTAACTTTACCTTTTCAATGTGCTTTCGCCACAATGAAATCTGCAAATTTCAAACTCTGGGTTTTTTAATTAAGCTATACTCTCAGAATCCCTTATATAGGAGTAAAAGAGGATGTTTATCATCGTTGGTGGTTAATGTGTGCGTTTTTGCGGTGCATGGTTTAGTGCATTTTCGCTGAACGCATCACTTTTTAATACTTAAGAATATACATGCACGATAAGCACATGGAACGTTGTTCGTCATAAATGTATCCGCTGTAATTATTGGAAAATGAAAGAAGGTCAAGGCCAATGAGTTAAATATGGAGGCAACTCCTTTTACTAAAATGCGCGGACTCTTAAGATTTGAATCATCGTGAAATCCAAATAATTAAAATACTGGTCATTAGTTTTAAGAGGTGAAAAATGGAAAGAAATCTTTCGAACAAAACCAATGATTGCATATGCTAAACAAAAAAGTGTTGGTGATATTACAAGAGAAATTACTGTTGGATCCCTGAAGAAGATGCGACAGTAATTTAGGTTTTTACTACACCAATACTATATCAAAAACTTTGCCGTCATAACGAAACAGTCAATCCTTAATAACTTAATCGATGTCTATATTAAAAAGAAATATGAAAAATCAGAGCATTGTGTCGGTTCCTCTAAATTTAGAATTGTGTGACTGATGGGAGTTGCCTATATGCACTTTAATTACATTTATTTGCTTTGTTTCAGGATTTTGTATTATGTTTTTCTACATGTAGGTGTGTCTGATTATTTTTATTTAAACAAGAAGCTTACGGGCTTTATAAGTCAACTAAGATTCAACAACTCTCCAACAATTGAAGTTGCTTTGTGGTTAAACCAGAAGCCATACAATTTACAATTTTGAAAGAGGCATCATTGCTCAATATGCTATATACTTAGCATGCTTTGCTTGATTACTTAATACCAAGAGGAAGGTTGGGGAAGAAAAATGCATTCCTACTAATCATTTATAAACAGGACCAGAGGATATGATTTTCGAAGAATTAATGCATTTCTACTATATAATCATTGGTACCCAGTTCCACGGGAACCCGTGGCCCTGAGGTCACATATTTAATAATTCTGGAAAAAACGTATCATTGCTCATCATAAATCTTTGATTAATACCAAAGAACCGATTTCAATGTATTCATTCAATTTCAGTCTATAATCATTAGAACCATCTCCCCCAACACACACACAGTACCCATGTCCCAGGGGCCATAAAATTCCCAATTTTCGAAGAGGCTCCCTTCCTCACCATAATTATAAACTTAGATCATATGTAGGAATAATACTCACGAACAGAGGAAAAAATTTTCAAATAATTAATGCTATTTTGCAATATAATCATTAGAGCCTACATCTAACACGGAACCCCGACCCAGGGGCCATGAAATTCACAGTTTTGGAAGAGACAATCTTGCTTTGCATACATGTATCTCTGTACTTCATCAGCTAAATACCCAGTAGCAGAGGAGAAGATTTTTACAGTATTAATGCATTTTCACTATATAATCATTAGAGCCCAGCCCTAACACCAGAACCACTGTCCCAGGGACCAGGAAATACACATTTTTAGGAGAGGCACTTTTGCTCATTATAACTGTATAATTAGTTCTCATCAGCTTAATATCAAGGAGCAGTGGAGAAGATTTTCAATGAAAAAAAGCATTTTTATTAAAAAAAAATCATCAGAGACCCACCATAACATCAGAACCCCTGACCCTGGGACCATGACATTTACAATTCTGGAAGAGGCACTCATCCTAATCACTACCATGTACCTAGTTCATCGTTTAAATACCCAGGAGCAGAATAGAAGCATTTTCATTACATATTCATTAGTGCCCCGCCCTAGCACGTAAACCCTTGACAAAAGGGCCATGAATTTCACAATTTTGGTAGAGAGCTCAATGCTTAGTACAATCATATCAAATATTACTGCTTGATGTCCAGGAGTAATGAAGATTATGTTCAACGACGTACGACGAAGGACGACGGACAAAACTGATAGCAAAAGGTCACATGAGTGACCAAGGTGACCCATTAAAAAGTCGCTGAAATTAGGACTTTTAAAATTATATATAATATTTTTGCATATAAAAAGACGTATTCTAATACTTTTTTTAGTACATTGGTTGATTTCCTGAATAGGCCAGATGTTGGCCAAAACTATACATACTTCAGAAAAAATGGTCATCAAAATAAGACAAAACACACACTTTTCTAGAAAATATGCCGTCTAAATATTTTAAGAGCATTATGCATTACAGAGATTAAAGATAAAACATTCTAGGCATGCGACAAGCCCATGGCCATTTTCATTTATATCCATCCTGCGGATGATAAATACATTAACATGGCAAGCCTATAAGCGTTTTACTAACACTTACAATTTTATAAATGTAATGTTTTACATTATAGTCTTCATTTCATGATTCAGTTCGTAACATTTCTCCCCCGTAGCTTACCCGTTGTATAACAAGCAGTTACAAATAGGCTATATAAATTAAAGCAAAGCTCGTTGCAACGCAACGAGTAGGTCTTCCGTCCCGTTTGACCGGAAGTAGCTTTCTATTTTCACTAAAATGAGAAATAACGCCCAAAAATACTTTAAATCCTCTAAAGCTATGTTAAGTAATGCAAAAATAAACCATTTTTGCTACATCTGGCCTATTCAGGAAATCAACCAAAATACTAAAAAAAGTATTAGAATACGTCTTTTTATATGCAAAAATATTATATATAATTTTAAAAGTCCTAATTTCAGCGACTTTTTAATGGGTCACCTTGGTCACACATGTGACCTTTTGCTATCAGTTTTTGTCCGTCGTCCTTCGTCGTACGTCGTTCGTTGTTCAATATTTGAACATAATCTTCATCACTCCTGGACATCAAGCAGTAATATTTGATATGATTGTACTAAGCATTGAGCTCTCTACCAAAATTGTGAAATTCATGGCCCTTTTGTCAAGGGTTTACGTGCTAGGGCGGGGCACTAATGAATATGTAATGAAAATGCTTCTATTCTGCTCCTGGGTATTTAAACGATGAACTAGGTACATGGTAGTGATTAGGATGAGTGCCTCTTCCAGAATTATAGATGTTATGGTCCCAGGGTCAGGGGTTCTGATGTTATGGTGGGTCTCTGATGATTTTTTTTAATAAAAATGCTTTTTTTCATTGAAAATCTTCTCCATTGCTCCTTGATATTAAGCTGATGAGAACTAATTACACAGTTATAATGAGCAAAAGTGCCTCTCCTAAAAGTGTGTATTTCCTGGTCCCTGGGACAGTGGTTCTGGTGTTAGGGCTGGGCTCTAATGATTATATAGTGAAAATGCATTAATACTGTAAAAATCTTCTCCTCTGCTACTGGGTATTTAGCTGATGAAGTACAGAGATACATGTATGCAAAGCAAGATTGTCTCCTCCAAAACTGTGAATTTCATGGCCCCTGGGTCGGGGTTCCGTGTTAGATGTAGGCTCTAATGATTATATTGCAAAATAGCATTAATTATTTGAAAATTTTTTTCCTCTGTTCGTGAGTATTATTCCTACATATGATCTAAGTTTATAATTATGGTGAGGAAGGGAGCCTCTTCGAAAATTGGGAATTTTATGGCCCCTGGGACATGGGTACTGTGTGTGTGTTGGGGGAGATGGTTCTAATGATTATAGACTGAAATTGAATGAATACTTTGAAATCGGTTCTTTGGTATTAATCAAAGATTTATGATGAGCAATGATACGTTTTTCCAGAATTATTAAATGTGTGACCTCAGGGCCACGGGTTCCCGTGGAACTGGGTACCAGTGATTATATAGTAGAAATGCATTAATTCTTCGAAAATCATATCCTCTGGTCCTGTTTATAAATGATTAGTAGGAATGCATTTTTCTTCCCCAACCTTCCTCTTGGTATTAAGTAATCAAGCAAAGCATGCTAAGTATATAGCATATTGAGCAATGATGCCTCTTTCAAAATTGTAAATTGTATGGCTTCTGGTTTAAACACAAAGCAACTTCAATTGTTGGAGAGTTGTTGAATCTTAGTTGACTTATAAAGCCCGTAAGCTTCTTGTTTAAATAAAAATAATCAGACACACCTACATGTAGAAAAACATAATACAAAATCCTGAAACAAAGCAAATAAATGTAATTAAAGTGCATATAGGCAACTCCCATCAGTCACACAATTCTAAATTTAGAGGAACCGACACAATGCTCTGATTTTTCATATTTCTTTTTAATATAGACATCGATTAAGTTATTAAGGATTGACTGTTTTGTTATGACGGCAAAGTTTTTGATATAGTATTGGTGTATTAAAAACCTAAATTACTGTCGCACCTTCTTCAGGGATCCAACAGTAATTTCTCTTGTAATATCACCAACACTTTTTTGTTTAGCATATGCAATCACTGGTTTTGTTCGAAAGATTTCTTTCCATTTTTCACCTCTTAAAACTAATGACCAGTATTTTAATTATTTGGATTTCACGATGATTCAAATCTTAAGAGTCCGCGCATTTTAGTAAAAGGAGATGCCTCCAT